TGTCTTTTCTGTGACTCAGTCTCCCTCTGCCTTTTTTTTTTTAAAGATCAGATTTTATTGGGGAATTGGGGGAGGGGAACAGCATTGGGGAATTGGGGAAGGGGAACAGACAAGTTGCTGTTCTTTTGTCCTTCAGTCTAGTTGTGGAGGATGTTGCTTCACTGGCCCATGTTGGTATTATCATTGCGCTCTTCCCAGATGAGGCAGTCGCTCGCCGGCCATTGGACGGCTGCTCACAGTGGCCACGGCAGCTCACGCTGGCTGCCAGCCACGCACTATCATTTTTAAGTGTACAGCTCATGATATTAAATACATTCACATTGTTGTGCAACCAATCTTCAGAACACTTTTCATCTTGCAAAAGTGAAACTGTCCCCATTAAACACTAACTCCCCAACCCCTTCCCTCAGCCCCTGGCACCCACCCTTCTACTTTTTGTCTCTATGAATATATTGTAATTTTTTTCAATAAGTGGAATCATATAGTATTTGTCCTTTTGTGACTGGTTTAGTTCACATGTTTAGTAAATGTCCTCAAGGTTCATCCATGTTGTAGCAGATGTCAGAATTTCCTTCCCTTTTTTTAAAAAAGGTTTTTATTGGGGAATTGTGTTTTTCTAGGACCCATCAGCTCTAAGTCAAGTTGTTGTCCTTCAATCTTAGTTGTGGAGGGTGCAAGCTCAGCTCCAAGTCCAGTGCTGCTTTCAATCTAGTTGGGTGGAGGGTGGGGGTGGGGGCATAGTCCACCATCCCATGCAGGAGTCGAACAGGCAACGTTGTTGCACCCTGAGTCATCCAGCTGCCCATTGGCAGCTCGCTATGGCTCAGCTTAGTTGCAGGGTGGGTGCAGCCCACCATCCCATATGGGTGTTGAACTGGCAACCTTGCTGCTAAGAGCACGCGCTCTCATCAGTTCAGCGGAAGCACAGCTCAGGTATAGCTCACTGGCCCATGTGGGAATCAAACCGGTGACCCTGTTGCTCAGAGCTTGCGCTCTTAACCAATTGAGCCACTTGGTCGGCCCCAGAATTTCCTTCCTTCTTAAGGCTGCATAATATTCCATTGTATGAATGGACTACTTTTGCTTATCCATCCATCCATCCATCCATCCATCCATGCATCAATGGGCACTTGGGTTGCTTCTACCTTTTGGCTATTGTGAATAATGCTGCTATGAATATTGATGTGCTAATATCTTTTAAAGACACTGCTTTTAATTCTTTTGGCCACTCAACTTTTATAACTATTTTTGGAAAGAGTTTAAGACTGACAGAAAGTTGCAAAAAAGTAGTACAATTTCCATGAACCCTTACCTCAGCTTTTCCCAGTGAAATGATTTATCTCATTAAACCACTGTCAAAACTAGGAAAT